ACCTACAATGAGGCTACTGAGTGGAGAGGAAAGGAACTCCGCCACATGGAGGCCATCGCTGTTCTTTCTTTCTTTCTTTCTTTCTTCCTTCCGAAATTTAAGAGCACCATGTAGTACAGGAGAGCATCACTGGCTCTTATTAGACCTTGGTTGGCATAGAATCCCAGACCTCAGTACTTTAATGTGAGATTGCTAACCACTTGGCCTCCATCAGGTCTTGAACTGATCATTTCGTTCTGTGGTTGACTTCACATCAGCCGTGAATTCCCCCATTCTTGCTCAATGAACGGGGAAACTGTCCTAATACTCTCCCTGCTTAGTCATAGTGAGAAAGGTGCATATGGTTGGCAGGATTAGTCTAAAGTCTCTTTAGTTTCCTAGTCTAGTCAGATTTTTTTCCTTCTAATTTAATATTCATCTATTGAAATAAAACTTCATGTCGAAGGGCTGTTTCTAACCCAAAGTCTTGTGATGCTTCTTGAGTGTTCCAGCAAAGGCCACGTCCATGAATCTGACAATAGCCATATTGTTAACAGAGCTTGTTCCCATCAAGAAATCAGTGTGTATTTTGCCATTCATTCAAAACCCAATTACAGTTGTCCTTTTTTTTTTTTTTTTAGAACCCCTGTGTACCCATTAGGAGAGGAAGTGATGGGAAATCTGCCATATGGAGACAAACATTTGAACCCTTCTTCACTCAAGGATGTGTTAGGGGGATTTCCCTTCAATTCTTTCAGCCTGACACAAATAAGCCAGTAAGTAGGGAGATTTTCACTGCTTCCTGTTGTGTCTGACTTCCACCAAATAGACAGGAAGCGAGGGGAAATCTCTCTGGGGCATAGAATGCAGTAAAAAGTTTAGAGATTCAACCCGAATTATTGACTTTTGGAGTCCTATACAAACTCAAAGTAAAATGCCTGAAAAACATTAACACAAAAGATCTCTGAGCCACCTGCAGGTCCCGGTTTACATGATTTAATTTTTAACTGTTGCAAAATTGTATTTGACTTTTGTACCTGCTGATCTCTTATGGGCAAAGTAATAGTCTGTTTTTGGATCCTTGTTCACTCTCGTTTCTCTCTTCCTATAGGTGTATCTCCTTGGAGTTGCCCTGGGGAGGTGTGGACAACTTCACCCTCCCCGATTGGGGAAGCATCCCCATCCCCTGCCCTCTTCCCTGTGCTGAATGGCTGCGATGGCACCTGCTCTCACTGACCCTGCCCCTGACGCCCGCAACCTGCACTTCAAGCTGGCGCCTCCATCATCCTCCCTCCCGCTTGGTGAGACCAACGGCGGCTGTCTTCCTCCTCCAGACCCACCAGACCTGGTAGCAAGCTACGGTGGAACACCTGGAAAGGAAACCCTTAAACTGGGTGGGGTGTATACTCCACGGTCCATATTGTCTCAGTCACTGTGCAGGGGGCGTTCCTCCATTCTGGAGTTCAACCTGGAGGAGCTGAGAGGAATCACCAATTCCAGTAGAGGGGGCCAAGGTGGACCTCTGAATGGACTGGCTAAAAGACCCGCAAAGCCAGCTGTGGACAAGCCCCCGAGTCTCTCTATTCCTGCTCTGGAGCCTTGGGTGAAGGCCCCACCGGTTCCCCCAGGATCTCCTGACGAGGAACATGAGCAAAAGGGCTCTCGCGTGCAGAATGGCTCCGATGCTCGTCTTAAAGCCTTGTTACAGCGCCATGGGGAGATGGAAAAGAGGGCGCGGTCTATCCAAAAGCGGCTCCAGGTAGTCCAGGCGAAGCAGGTTGAGCGTCATCTACACCAACAGCTAGGAGGTTTAGTCGGGGCTGCCTTTGGGCGGAACACAGAAACGCCTCGTTCTCGATTGACTGTGGTAACACGGAAAGCTGATGCTCAGCGCCGAGGAGAAGCTGTAAGCAGCGTCTCTGAAGCCCTTTTAAAGGGAGCGGCAACTGAGCTGGAAAGGTTAAGCTGTTCTGGCAGTGCCACTTTGCGGGCCTGTGAGCGAGGCTTTGACTCGGATGCCACAGAAAGTAGCTCAGGAGGTGACTCGGATGTGGAGGAGGACGAACCTAACCGAGTGGACACGCAGCAGAGCCATGTGCCACTGTAAGTACACACTAACTTACCTCTGTGTATAAATAATAATGCATCTAAGGTGGCAAGAACTATGAATGTTTGCTCGGAATGCAGTTTCCACATTTTAGAGGCATTTGTGTGGTTCAAACAAATAGGTTTTGAAATTCACATCAATTTTGAGAAGTTGTCCTTTTTGATTTATTTTCTCTAATCTCAACCTGCAATGTCCTATATGATGATTTACCAGTCCTTTGATGTATTGGTTACATTAGTTTTCTTCAGGCTTTTCTCCTTTTTTATTTTCACCTGGTGATCCAGCCAGTAATACACTTCCTCTCCTAGGGTGACCATACTTGGTCACCATACTGTATCTATGGAGGAGCAGCTTTGGCTTCCTTGGACAGGACTATAGAGCACCACACTTCCATAAGTCAGCAGAGGCAGAGCACTAAGGAAGTTATCGGCTCACATGATTTCTGGCAGGATCATCAGGTATTGTCATTATCAAACATATATAACAGAACATGTTCATTGATGTGTATCCAACACTAAAATGGAGCAAATATGAGACCTTCATTGTTGAGGTGTTCATAGACAAAGAGTTTTTCAGCCAATGGAGGTAGAGTATAATGGCTGATGAATTGTACATTACTCTGAGAGGCCCATGGGTAATTTGTGGGGGCACAAATCACTTCTATTGACTGGGAAAGGACACCAGTTGTAAAATGCTTTTTGTTTTTTAAACTTGTGTTATCCAAGGCTGGGTTTTTGTCCAGCCATATCCTCGAGGTTGCCATGCATAGCCAGATAGTTGACAAGTGTGTATGGTAGCCATATCAAAGTTAAGAAGCTGTCAGACAAAATCAGCAGGCCAAAAAAATGTGAGACCTTCCCAGACTTTTTGAATTTGGCTGTGTTCTTTTATTCATTGAGCAGGGTCCAATGCAGTGTAGTTTGACCTCAGACACATGAAGGGTTTCAGTCAGCAATGCTTAAGCTATTATTTTGTGACCATCAGGACATGAGTCATGCGTGTAAATTGGTGCTTGCAAATGTGCTCAGGTTTCAACTTGAGGAGTGCTTCACTAGGTTTTTTCTTTTGAGACGGAGGTCTATGATCAAGAATGTCTAAGAGTTTGTGGACCTGTGACCATAACTTTTGGGCTATTCGGCATTCCCACCATATGTGATTGTGTACCAGGTTCTGAGCAACCAGAAAAGCAGTTTGGGCAGGCCCACCATATGTGATAGTGTACAAGGTTCTGAGCAACCAGAAAAGCAGTTTGGGCAGGCCCACCATATGTGATAGTGTACCAGGTTTCGAGCAACCAGAAAAGCAATTTGGGCAGGCCCACCATATGTGATAGTGTACCAGGTTTCGAGCAACCAGAAAAGCAATTTGGGCAGGCCCACCATATGTGATAGTGTGCCAGGTTCTGAGCAACCAGAAAAGCAGTTTTGGAAGCAATCGGACTATACAAGTTAACACATCGGTATCATGTACCACTGGAGGTGTACTTAATAGTTCATTTCCACTGTGGTTGCATTGCAGGAGCAGGACTTGGTTGTGTTCCATTTTTGTGACCAGTCAGAATGTCTTAACCCAGTTCTCGGGTCCATCTCACACTTTTCTACATAGTTGGGAGGCATAGAGGTGAATTTCGCCAGTAACCTGCTGTTAAGAAGGTGAATGGACCCAGGGGACTGCAGATCATCTTTACATTTGAATTCATCTGCTGTAGGTGCTAGCCCATTGCTTGGGATATAAATGGTGGCCGAGACATAATGCGTAACTTGTAAGTACGGAAAAGATTTTAGTTTGGTAAATGATGGGTCTTTTTGCAAGGAAGGGAAGGCCTTTACTGTGTCACAAGCCGGTTATATATAACTGGGTTAGTCCCGACTTTATCCAGTATTTAAAAACTGCCTGGCAAGTCATGCCCCGAAGGGAATGATGGGTTCCCAAGGATAAGGGTAAGTGTGGTGAGAGGAGACCGTCAGAATATTTATGGTCAATGATTGCTTTCTGGGACCCTTAGGGCCTGTGTCGATGGGCTTTTGGTTGCTAAAGAAAAGCTTTGCTCCCCATACAGGTCAACGGGAGTGTCAAAGCATCTTGAAACTGGTTGCTGCAGCCCAAGTCAACTGCTGCTGTGGGGTACAGCCCTGCACTGAAGCTGTTGGTTTGCTCTGCATTGGAAAAGCACGGGTTCACGTATGCCATGTACTGAAGGATTCACGTTGACAAAGATGACGGCCTTCGTTAGTCACTATGGCATTTCTATCTAACTCTTCATGCAAAGTTCTACCTTTCATGCGGTGTTCTAAGGGGTTGAGGAACAGGACCGTTAGGACATACCCAACACCTATGCAGATGTGCATATTTGGCCATCCTCACATTGTAATGCCTAATTATGCATCCTGATAACCTCTAGCATGACGCTGCCTCACTTGGGAATAGGAGATGGGGTGGTTAGTAAATATGGAGTGCTGACCTTTTTTAAGTCAGCTACTCTTTGGTGGGGAAGCGTGGGAAGATAATATAGTTTTTTGTTTTTTAACTTGGCACACATTCCTGTTAAGTTCAAGTCCACTATGCACAGCTTTCTAAACAAATGTGTGCAGCATTTCTTTATTTCTCTATGTAATATGACACAGGCTTGTGGACTTCATAGCATGTGGTCATCCACGAGCCACAAGAGTGCCTGCAAAGAGGGGTAATAATTGGGAAAGGCATATGCCCCTCTGGTACTGCTCGTTACCCTGTGCCCACCTTCAGCCCTGATCCTCCAGCTACTCCTGTGTTTGTTCCCCTCAACCTGTCCAATACTCTGTGCTTCTCTGCATCTTCCCTGGTAATTTCAGTGGTCCTCCATGACCGCTCTCAATTGCATATCAGTAAGGTGAGGTCGTGGCCTTTGCACCGATACTAGGATCGGTGCCGATACCGAGTATTTGAGCGAGTGCTCGTACTCGCTCCGATGCCTAGCCCGATACCCAAACTTCCGTTATCAGGAAGCCAGGCATTACGTCATTACACGCTGCCGGACTTTCTGATTGTCCGGGAAGCCAGCTGCATGCTCCCTCATCACTTGGTGACGTGGAAGCATGGAGCCGGCCAATCAGGTAGCGAGTCATTACACGCCGCCTGGCTTCCTAAATGGCACTTTTGGTAACTGTATTAGGTATCGGCGAGTACTGGAAAAAAAAATATCGGTATTTGTACCTGATACCGAAAAATAGGTATCTGTGCATCCCTAAGCATAACCACTCTATTGACAGGATCATGGATAGCCCAAGCCTTTCCAATCCAGCAGGCAGTAGGATTTTTTTTAGAAGCCAGAGAACCTCAACAGTTGGGCACCAGCTATAATTTTAAGGGAGCATTGGCGGTGTCCAGCCCTGTTTTTACCGTAACCGGAGCAGACCTTTGCAAAACCAGCACCTAGAGCAGACCATATGTTGTATTCAAAAACATTCTCTAAACCTTCCTGTTTAGTTTTGCATCTTCAAGCTCTGATGATGGGGACCCCTTAAAATGTGTTGGCCATTATAGAACGATTATGGTGACCTTGAAATAAGAGCTGTCTGTGTTGCCTCATGGGAACTGATCAGCTTTTCCTTTCATCATCCAGCGCAGGTTGTATCTGGTTGTGTGGCAACACTGACATTACAACCTGCTTGAGAAATTGCTGCAAACCATTCAGTAGTTTGATGGCTCTGGTATGGGAATTGGGAGCAAGGCCACACTCGCTTGTTTAGGAGCCTCCTCGTGTAGCAGCACTCTGGATCACCCCACTCTTATCTTTTAGAACCCTGAATAAGTGTTTTATTATAGGTTTCCAATCTAGAGTCACAATGCTTGATGGAACCTTCACTCTATTTCAGAATATGCTAGTTGGTATGCAGTACTACTCAGGTGATATGTATGATAGAGGTTTGGATGTCTGGATGTTCTGTCACATTATCAGAAGTAGGGATGCACCGATACCGGTTTTTCGGTACCGAGTATGAGGACCAATACCGGTGCGTCCGCTGGGATGGAGTCTGTTTCCCAGGCAATCTGATTGCCCAAGAAGCTGGCTCCATGTTATTGGTCTGGCTTCATTGTGCTTGGCTGGGAAATCAGCATGGAGTCGGCTTGCTGGCCAATCAAGAAGCCAGGAGGCTGGTCATTACTCCCCGCCCAGCTTCCTGATTGCACGGGAAGCTGGCTCCTTGTTCTCTGTAAGTTCCGGTATCGGGCAAGGTATCGGTACGAATACTCGTCCAAATACACGGTATCGGTACAGATACTAGTATCGGTGCATGCCTAGTTAGAAGAGACCATCATTTGGTTTTAGATTTGTTGGATTTATGATTCAGACAACCCCATGCGTCCCTCCTAGACTTTATCTGTAGAATTGTCCTCCAGGCAAAATGGATACTCATTGGCGGCTGTGCCAGCTGTTGATGGTTTGTCTCATTTTAGATAATGCCTTTTAAGTGTTATTCATGCACATTACTTCACATACATGCGGTTAGGCCCCTTTCACACAGCCGCTCCGATCGGGTCTACCTGTCAGTATTTCAGGCGGACCTGATCGAATGTGCAATGCCAATCTATGGGCAGCCGTGTGTGGTCCATTTACTCCCATTACCCCACGACTCCGGCCGGGTCCAGAGAAACGAATGGATTAGAGATCCGTTTACGCCGGGCTGAATCGGCGGCTATCCGTTTACATCTGATTCCCCATAGACTGACATGGGGTGCAGTAATGGCAGTTTTTAATGGAGGGGGGAAAAAAATGTACAAACACAGATGTCACAATGGTGTCATTTTCTCCGTACTGCTGTGATCAGGAGAGGATCTGCATGGCTCCTCTCCTGATCAGCCCGTGTGAAAAGGGGCCTTAAACTGCCACGGTACTTTTTGTTTTTCTTTTACAGCGGCACAGAAGGGAAACTGGTAAAGTAAATGGTAGGAGCTGAGCCGGTGATGTGCTTTATCAAATGTCTACATCTAAATAGGTTTGCTGAAAACTGTAGTA